GTCTTATCCATTGCTTGGGCTTAGCTGGAAGCCCCACAATTTTAAATTGAATCAATAGCTTTATGTGTGAGACCTCATTAAAAGCCTCTCTGAAGGACTAGGCACATTACTACAGTCTGTTTGTGTTATCATTTCCTTAAAGAAGTCAAAGAGTTTGGTCCAGAGGCTGGCAGCTCTTGTGCTTAGTGGTGCCATTGAGATAAGGATGGAGGTGGCTGTGGCCACTTTTGGAAGAACAGGCACTGGATTGAGGAGGGACCTGGACCATAGGTAATTAATGTGGTGTAGGTGTTTTGCTGAATGGGTGGGAGCTAGAAGGGAGAGGGGTTCAGGGCATTACCAGCAAGGGCAAGGAGGTGATTTTCATTTTCCCTTCCTCATCCTACCTATTCCAATTCCAGTCCCCTGATCAGACACATTTAGGCACTGAGTACATTTGATCAAGAGACCACTCCCTCACACATTTGGCAGGTGACCAGCTTGCTGTGTGGTTATAGTGCATGTTGTGGCCTGCCTGAAACTGAGTTAATACTAACAGTGGCAGGATGAGGCCCTTAAATGGTCGTTAGCTGCGGATGCGGTGGGAAAATTGACCATGGGCCTTTCTACCAGAACTTATCTCTGGCTGAGGTAGGAAGGTGGTGGGGTTCTGGTTTTCCTGTACTCTGTCTAATTCTTGCCTCCAGCTTCACAATAGAGAGACCCAATGAAATAACAAGACTTTCAAATGTAAAATTTGACTCACAATTGCCTTTAGAGGGAGGAAAATCTGCTGTTCTTATTTGGTCTGACTCTAGGCTCTGAACAATGTGATTAAATAGTGCATATCTCCTCCAATGGTCTAGCAAGCTGCTCAGTTGTACTGAAGCTGGTGGCACCCCATCAACTTAACAAAGATCCTGTAAGGTGTCTTGTTGGAAGCTCGGACAGCAGCAATGGGGTGATGCATACATTACAACTATAGTGCCTTGAAAGGACAAAGGAACAGAGACTATGGAAGGGAATCAAACCCAGAGACAGACAGAGACAGAGCAATGACAAACAGGAGGCTGGAAGAACACAGCAAGCCAGGCAGCATCTGGAGGAAAGGAGAAGTCGACATTTCGGGAATTATCCTTCTTCAGGACTGAAGAAGGATAATACCTGAAACAAAAGCAGACGTTGCTGGAAACGCTCAGCAGGTCTGGCAGCATGTGCGAACAAAAAATCAAAATTAATGTTTCAGGTCCAGTGACCCTTCCTCAGAACTCCCGAAATGTTGTCTTGTCCTCCTCCACGTGCTGCCTGGCTTGCTGTGTTCTTCCAGTCTCCTGTTTGTCTACCTTGGATTCCAGCATCTGCATTTTTTTTGGTCTCTCCCAGAGACAGAGGAATAGTTCTCAGGGGTAGGCCAGAATGTGGGATTCAACCCTGACAGAGGCAGATATGGGAGAAGATGCTTAGGATTTCAAACCCTGTTTACATAAGTAGAGATAAAATTGGATCTAATATTTATCGTGTATTTAGGGAATGCAAATTCTCAAAGACAAGCAACAGCTTCCTCATTTGTTGAGTTAAGATGCCCAGAAAGTAAAACCAGTAAAACTTGCAAATGATATTTTGATTTGACTTGTATACCTCAAAATAGAGGTCCAGTACAAGCAGTATATTCATTTTTAAATTTGATTCTTTTATATTGCTTTCTCCCTCAGGGTGGCTAGTCTGCCATTTACTCTGTAGAGGGGACAGTAATGCTTGTGTCTCTCCACAAGTAGAAACAGGGTTTGTACTGAAACTTAGTGGTGGAGGTTGGCTGCTCAGGGCCTTTACATTGTCCTGAATCTGTTTAGCAAAACCCCTACTTCAGTAGTTCAAAAGCTGCATTTTTTTTGGTTTGATCCTAGAAACCTGTTAGTGACTTTCCATGTTTCCCATTCTTTAATCCAAAGGATGACTGCTGGTAGATCTTGTTCAGGAAGATTGTTTCATTTGAGGCACTGAGATGGAAGGCAGGTAGTAGGTGAGTTGAATAAGTCATTATGGAGTGGTAAGTGAAGTGCAGTGCAGATGGTTTCAACTAGCAATTATTTGGGAAGATATTTATGAGGGCAGGAAGCTAAGAGAGTGGTGCTGAGTGGACAGTAATATCCAGTAAAAAATACCACTCATCCCAATCTTCAGACTCACTTTGAACATTTTAAAATGTTTCAACATGTGCTGTCTTGTGTACGGCTGGTTTGCAATGCAGGGGGATGCCAATAGTGTGGAGTCAATTCCCATACCAGCTGAGGTTACCATGAAGACTCCCCTCACCAGAGATTTGGTGAACCTCAGGTTAAACCACTGCCAATCATCTCTCACCAATGACACAGCAGCCCTATGAAAGTTTATGGCAACTTTACCTTTTTCCTTGTGTTTTAACATGTCAAAAGATTTAGGTCGCAAGGAGATCTGAGTTGATTTTGCCTCTGGTAGGATATTTAACAGATGTGGCGATGATTATATTATTGCTTGTAACATAAGAAACTGGACATGGATATCAAGATATGGAGAACCTAGCAAGCATTTATTATCGCCAGCTATTGTACACAAACATTACATTCCTCCGATACCTAAGTATCTAGGCTAATATTAAGCTAATACATAACAACAAAACAGCCTGCTTCCAGCTTTGTGTCATGCATCAAGTGATCTGAGTTAAGATAGTGTGTATATATACAGGCCATGTGATTTTTTTTACAGTGATCATATCATGAACTTGTGTCCTAAAAGTATACTGACCGTTAGACAACTAGAGTTTCTGAATACTTTTTATATATTTTGCCCATCAATTTTTGGGTAGCTGTCAATAATAATTTCTTATGGTTCCCAGAAATTTGAAATATTTTAAAATTCAAAATGATAGAATTTCACCAATTCTCAGGTCATACCATGTGTTGCAAACTGACCTATTATTTGGTACACGAACTACAGTGTAGATAATATACTTGTACACACACAAGGGCATATAGTTTATAATTGGATCATGACAGTTTTATTGCAGGTGAACCATTTTGGGGGAAGTTAAATCAAAGACAAGGCTCCAGGACATTTGAAAATACTCTTTTGGGGGTAAAGTATCAATTGAGATTTTTTAACCATGCAGCTCCCCTCAGCTTCTCCAGAACTGAACGATGGGCGGAACGTTTCCTCGGGCGCTGTGTGGTTCCGGGCGGGGAGGGAGTGGGTGGTGGTACACTACGCGGAGTGAGTCGGTGAATTTCTGCCGCCGGATTTCATTTAAAATCTAAAGAATGAGCGAGTCGGACGTGGAGCCGCTGGTGCGCGGTGGTTATCGCTGCTTATTGTGCGATGTTCGGGTCCCCAATAGTAAGTGGAGAGATCTTTTTTAAACCAGCGATCGCGGTGCCGAGGCCTAACTTACCAGGATCCAGGCGCTTCAGTTTGTGCGGGGCGGGCGGGGCGAGTCAACTCTAGCGGCTCCTGTGTTGGTGAAGCCAGTACCTCCCACCCCCCCACCCGAGCTTGTAGGGTGGGGAGCTGATTTCACTCTGTCTGATGGAACCGGAATGATAATAAAACAAAACAAGAAAGGCTGGAAATACTCAACAGGTCAGGCAGCATCCACAGAGAGAGGAAAACCCTTCAATTCCGATTATAGAATCAGAGTCACACAGCACGGAAACACACCCTTCGGTCCAACCAGGTTCCCAAGCTAAACTAGTACCATTTGCCTGCACTTGGCCCATTCCCCTCCAAACATTTCTTATTCGTGAATTTATCCAGACGTTGTAACTGTAATCCACATCCGCCACTTTCTCTGGAAGTTCGTTCCACACACTCTGTGTAAGAACGTTGCCCTGATGTCCTTTTCTTTTCCAATCTTTCTCTTCTCACTTTACAAATATGTTCCCTCCCCCCGAGTTTTGAAATCTCCTACCTCGGATGATTCTGGGTATCAGTGGCCAGATCAGATTGCTTTTGGCTATCCCTAATTTCCCAAAGGCCAGTTAAGAATGAATTCCATTGCTCTGGGTTTGGAGTCACACATAGGCCCAGAACAGGTAAGTTTGACAGATTTCCTTCTGTAAAGGGCATTAGTAAACCAGATGAATTTTTAACAACAGTCAACACTGTCATTCATAATCCTGTTGAATTCACGTTCTAACATCTACCGTAGTGGAATTTGAACCTATATCTTCAGAACATTAACCTGGGATACTGGATGACTAGTCCAATGATGTTACCACTGATATCACTACCTCCCCTCATCAAGTCAATATTAACGCAAGGGCATTGATCAGAAATTTAATTCTGAAAATTCTTGCAGGACCAGACAGTGTAGTCTCAGAGAGGATTATTGGCAGGGTGGGGAGCAATGTTCCCTCTAATATTTTGTTGTGTTCTGTGGACCACTGAGGTTCATGCATGTCAGCTCATTCCAGAAACAAAAACCAATATGTTGGCACACCAATCATTGTTTGCGGAGCCTCCCAAGGAATGTCAGTGAAGGGGTGATGCAAACTCTGGAACCAATAGACACAGTCTCAGAGTAAGAAGTAAGCCATTTCAGACTGAAATGAGGAGGAATTCCTTCATTCAGCATGGTGAATCTTTAAAATTCTCTACCCCAGAAGCCTGTGTGGATGCTCAGTTACTCAGGATGTTCCAGATGGAAATCAGTAAATTTTGAGATATTAAACACATCAAGGGATATGAGCATAACATGGGAAAATGATGTTTTGGTCAAAGATCAGCATGTTCTGTTGTTACTTCATTTTCTAGCTATACTGTGGTGCAGTACTTCTGTATTAAAACTTACTTTGCTGACACTTTTCTTTGAGGATTTCCCACCTTGAAGGAGTTCTGCCCTTTTCTCTGACATGACTTCTGTTTATTTCTTGCACTTTTTTTTTGTTTCTCACCCACTCTCTTTTTACTTGATTGAAACCTATTGCATTTCTAATATCCCAGTTCTGATGAATGGCCACTTACTTGAAATTTCAGGCAGGATTTCTCCCGTGGACTTTAGACACTTTGTTGTCATGGTCAAATGGTGGGAAAGGAGTCTCTACTTTGGAGGGAACAGTCATTTGGCGTTATTGCTATTTGCAAAGAAAAAAGTTACGAACGATGCCATTGCGAACATGTATGCAGACACCCATTCAGCATGCTAAAACATTTGCTACTGCACTAAGCAGGTATGTGAGTAACAATGTACAAGTCTGCAGCAGTTTAATCTGTGAAATGCATCCAATGAAGCTGCATCATTTGAGTTTCAAAGAATGTTTAAAACTTGTGCAAGCCACAAGATGACACTTAGCGGTAATTTTTGCCTAATTGCCCAATTAAAAGCCATTGTACAGACCTGCCATTCAACTGAGGGTGGTCGGGAAAGTCTTCAAGATCAAGACTGATCAATTGCGTTCCCCTTCAAGCCATGCATCATCCTGACTTGGAATTATATTGCTTTGCTGTTGCTTGGTTAAAATCCAGGAATACTTTTCTTAATTACACTATTACACCACATTGGTGGTTCACCACCATCTTTTTATTTAAGAAACATTCATTTTTGGAATGTGAGCATCACTGCTTGGGTCAGCATTTGTTACCTATCCCTAGTTGTCCTTAAGAAGATTGTGGTGAGCTACCACCTTGAGCTACTGCAGGCCATTTGGTGCAGGTATACCCACATTCCTTTAGGGAGGGTGTTCCAGGAACGATACATTTCAAAATCACGATGGAGAATGCCTTGGAGGGAAACTTGCAGCTTGTGGTATTCCCATGTATTTGCAGTCCTTGTGCTTCTAGAAGGTAGTGGTCGTGGGTTTGGACGGTGCTCTGTGAAGAAACTTGAGGATTTTGTGCAGTGCACCTTGTAGATAGTACACACTGCTGTAGCTGACCAGAAGTTTTGCGTGTGGCTTTGTCCAGTGGTGTCAAGCTTCTTGACTGTTGGAGCTGAACACTTTCAGGTGAGTGGGAGGTATTCTGTTACATTCCTAACTTCGGCTTTGTAGATGATGGAAAGGCTTTGGGGAATCAGGCGTTGATTTACAGCAGGATTCCTAGTCTCAGACTTGCTCTTGTAATTACATCTATAAAAGGCTAGTCCATTTCAGTTTCCTGCCTTTGGTAACCCCCTTCCCTCTGCGCCCCGATGTTGAAAGTGGGGGATTCAGCAATGGTGATGCCATTGAGGGCAATCACCGAAGTGTGATGATTGGGTTCTCTCTTTGAGGTAGTCATTGTCTGGCGCTGCAAGGCACAAATGTTACTTGTCAGTTGTGAACCCAAGCCTGGGTATTGTCCAAGTCTTGCTTCAGGTGGACATGGACTGCTTCAAGACCTGGGGAGACGTGAATGGTGCTGAACATTGTGCAATCGTCGGTGAACATGCTCACTGTTGACCTTAAAATGGAAGATAGGTCATTGATGAAGCAGCTGAAGATGATTGGGCCAAGGGCAGTCTTGCGACGAACTCCTGCAGAGGTCTTTTGGAACTCAAACCTTCTCGAGGGCTATTACAAATGGGCAGTAAATGCTGGCCTAGTCAGTGCCCACATCCTGTGAAGTAATTAGATCTGGAATTGAAGATGCAAAAACTGTCTTTCCAGGCAAGTGTGCGAAAAGGCTTCCCAAGATGGAGGCGCCCTCTCTCCCATGTTTTTAACTCGATCTTTGAAAATGACCTCAGCAGGTAAGTCCTGCCAGCATCCTGGCTAATGTGCAGGATCTGGAGACTGATTACTAAAGTCCACTTGGCCTCTAACAATAGGCTTTATTAACTGGAAAATGATTGAGGGGTGTGATGTTATGCTGCACCCCCTCCCAATCATGGTCTAAATGTTCACCTTGATAAAGTTTTCCTGTCCATGGATGCTTTTGTGTCTATCCAGCCTTCCTATTACAGAAATTAGCCCTCTTGAGGACGCCTCATTCTTCCTTCACACTTGCTGATCATGGTTACAAGTGGCTCCATCTAATCATTGGAAATTTTGAACATGTTTAGTTTTAATGGTGGGTAAGAAATGGCTGCTTACACAGGGTCTGTTCTAGCATCAAATGTGCACAGATTCTTAGGCATTTGGTAAAATGCAATGTGTTATGAAAAAGTGCCAGAGAAATTGGCACTGCCAACTATATTTGCAGTGCTGGCTTTTAAACCTGAAAAACAATAACATTTGTGATGTAGCTTACCTTTTTCAATATAACAAAAAACTGAGTCAGAGTTCACAATTGGAAAAAAGAAGAGTTTAAATGGCATATTTAAATTGAATCAAAATCTATTTGAAAGGAAAATAGCTGCTTGAAAATGAGGAATGCAGAAAGGTATGGATGCACAGAGGAGTGGGATTTGACAAGACAGCTCATGGATCCATACAGCATAGAAGGAGACGATTCATCTCTTCAGTGTCCTGGCTTATTTAAAGAATGATTCACTTATTATCATTCCTCTAATCCGATATCCTATGTTGCACCAAGTGTTGTTGATTTGTAACTCCTGTGCTTGCTCTTGGTTCAGATGTGACGTGGATTTTGAAAATTATTATCCTTTGTTTTCAAATATTCCATGGCCTTGCTGCTCTCTTTCATCCTTAGAACTCTCTAAGATCTCTTTTTTTTAACAATACTGGCCTCTTGAATACCCACAGTTTCTATCACTACATTGTCAACAGATGTGCTTTTAACTACTGAAGCCCTAAGTTCTGGAGTATCTGCCCTAAAGCCCTGCCTGTCTCTGCACCTTTCATCTGCTGTTTTAGACCGAGCTTTGATTCATTTGCCTGATAAATCCCTATGGGGCTTTGTGTAAAATCTTTGTTTGATACCTGTGAAGCATCTTGGGATGTTTTCATAAATCAAGGCTGCTATAGAAGCGCACGCTTTTGTTGCACTTCCCTACACACCTGTGATCTTTCTCTTCATGTTTTCATCCAATTCCTTTTAGACACGTATTGCTCAATCTGCTTCCACCATCTGTTCAGGTAGCGCTTTCCAGATCATACAGCTTCTTGATTAAAGTAGGTTTTTGTTTAACACCCTGCACCCCACCCTTGCCATCCCAGCCTCCTCTATTGCACCACTGCCTCAAACTTCTTTGTCAATTGTTTTAGATCTGTATTCTTTAGTTACTGTGCTGTCTACTATTGAACACAGTTTCTCCATATTTACGCTATCAGATTTTTTTCTACCTCTCATACCTTCCGTTCCTAAGAAAATGAATCCTAGCCTCTTCACATAACTGAAGACTGCCAGCCCTGGTACAAGTCTGGTAAATTTCCTTTACAATTTCTCAAGGGTTTGACATCCTTCCCAAAATGTGGTTCTGAGTTGGATACAGTACTCCAGCTGAGGCGTGACCAGCCAATTTCTGCAGGATTATCATAGAATCCCAACAGTGTGGAAACAGGCCATTCGGCCCAATAAGTCCACACCACCCCTCTGAAGAGCATCCCACCCAGACCCACTCCCCTACATTTCCCATGTCTAACCGACCTAACCTAAACATCCCTGGGCACTATGGACAAATTAGCATAGCCAATCCTCCTACCCTGCACATAGCATAGCTTCCTTACTTTTCTATCTATTCTGTTATCTGTCTATTCCCCATATTTGAAGCTAATTATTCTGTATGTTTTTAAAATAATTTTCTCAACCTGCCCCACAATTTTCAAAGGTTTGTGTACACAAATCCGTAAGAAGAATATAAGAAACAGGTCGTCAGGATCCTCAAGTTGCTCTGCTATTCAGTAAGATCATGGCTAAATTTTTGTGGACACAACTCCATAGGTCTCACTGCTGTGGCCATTAAAATTGTACTATTTGGTTTATATTACCTCCTCATTCTCCTTTTTCAAGTTCATGAACACACATCAACCATCTCTGTTACTTATTCAGCATACTCCGTCTAGTTTAGCAGGTATGATTTGCCTTTAAATCTGTGCTGGCTGTCATTTATTAATCCATATGTTTTCAAATGAGAATTATTCAAATTTGGGAATATTGCCTCCGAGATTACCCCGACTACTGATGCTCAGCTGACCTACTTGTGGTCACTACTTTTATCCTTTATCTGTTCCGAATAGGGATGTAACTGTTGAAATCCTCTTGTTCCTTGCCACATCTCCCATACTCAAGTAGGAAAAAGCAATTGAAAGTCTCTACTATCAGTAACACCAACTTCTTAAGTGACTCTTTTTATATTTAATCATGTTCAATTTTACTATTACCCCTTCCATTGCTGTGGCATTGTCAACGACCTTACTTCTGGTGAGGACCTTTTCTTTGACTAGTTTTTGCCATTTATATCTTTACAAATAACTTCTGTGTTCCTTGCCAATCTTTCTTCTTTCATAGATATTTTTAAATCAACCTGTTCAGATACAGCCAATACCACTATCAAATACCTCCTACTTGTACCCTTTAAACCACATACTTTCAATTAAAAAGTAGTTATACTTAATATTAAATTTAAATTTCTTTGCAATATACTCTGGTTTTTAAAAAAGGTGATTTGCAACCCTTATGTAATCCATGCTGTTTTATGCTTTTAGGCCCCAGTTTAAATGATCACCTTAAAGGAAAGAAACATCAAAAACTGCTGAGTGTGAGAAGTTGCAGGAAATCCCAGCAGGAGAAGAGTTTGTTTGTAAGCGGTTTCCGTAAAGGCACATCTAATCTGGAAATCACTGATTACTTTCAGAACTTTGGCACAGTGGCAAATGTGATAATGGACAAAGACAAAGTAAGTACTATTGGCAGATGACTTCAATACAGTCCTAAGTTAAATATGATGACTTGTAGCAGATGAAAAATTTACAGAGTATAGTGTGAATCTTTGAAGTAAATTGTGAAGTGCAAAGGGCAGTTTTCTGCCACTACTGTGAGCTCTAATAATGCAACAGTTTTGTGCACAGATCGTTGAAGGTGGCAGAACATGTAGAGGGAGCGGTTAATGTAGTGTATTGCGATCTTGGCTTTATTAATAGGGACATACAGTACAAGAGCAAGGAATGATGTTTATCTTTTATAAGATACCTGTTAGACCTCAGCTGGAGTATTTCGCATAGTTGCGGACACTGCGTTTATAGGAAAGATGTGAATGCATCGGAGGGAGTTTGGAAGTAATTTACAAGAATGGTCGTAGGAATGAGAAGCTTCAATTCTGAGGATAGATTGAAGAATTTGGGACTGTTCTCCTTGGAGAGAAGGAGGTTGAGAGTAGATTTAAGAGAGGTTTTCAAAAACTAGTGGACTGGATAGAGTAGAGAGGGAGACACTGTTCCCAGTCATAAGAATGAGCAGGCATAGATTTAAAGGTATGTGCAAAAGAAGCAAGGCTGATGTGAGAAAAATGTTTTTCACATGGCAATTAGTTAGGATATAGAATGCACTGCTTGGAGATGCGGTGAAGGCAGGTTCTGTTGAGGTATTCAGGAGAATATTGGATTATTATTTGGGTAGATGTAGAATGCTAAGGTATATGGAAAAAACAGGAGCTTGGCTCAAGGTAATGATTGTTTGAAAAGCCAGTCGAGGCATGATGGACCAATGGCTGCCTCCAATTCTGTGATTCTAAATTTTGAGGGCAGTAAAGTTATATGTAAATCATATTGAAATGCTGCATTCCTTGTTCAGAGGGCAGGTAGATGAATGGTTTGGCTGCAAACTTAGAAACATCAGTAAACAAAACTGTATTCCTGATTCTGATGCTTTAGTTGATTTAATATGCTGTGCAGCCTTACCAAGCCTGGTTGGGGGCATTCTTGGAGGCTAACTCACTAGATATTGTGGCCAAGCAGTCTCTAATCATGTGACATTTGCAAATTCAATTGATTTTGCTTTCTAAATGTAAGTTTCATGTTTTTGAGTATTCCTGCTTCTGGATTGTCTCAAGCAGCTTTGCCTGAAGTCCCAAGAATAGGCAGGGACAGGGTTCCTGGATACTAATTTTCCAATTTCTATCTTTGCATCTGACTCTAATCCCTGATCGTCCAGCCTTTTTCCCCCCTCAATATTTTTTCGATCTTCCCACTCAAACTATTCTTGCCTCCTTCCCCAACTCCTGAGAGTTGTCCCAGTAAGCTGCTAAAGCGTTACACTGGCTAGTTATGGCTGTCTTTTGGCAGTGACATCCTTCAGTCTGTTGTGGTAGGAAGCTTAAATTATGAAGATTTCCCAGGATAACAAAGTCCAGGTGATTTGTATCCAATTCAAGATGGCAAGTGGGCAGTCCGTGAAGGCTGCAAACCTATTTACTAAATAGTTCAACAAACAGGTGCAAAATCTCTTTCTTTTGATGGCTTGTTTTTCTACCTGTTGCTGTGGACTAGACAGACAAGAGAGGCATCTGTATTGATAATATTACCCTTGTTCTGATTCACAAGGTGCTGTGAAATTTGGTAATTTAAGAAACTTTTTGATTGTTTAGAAATTAAACTGGTTGAATAAGCTTACTGATTTGAATGTAACGTATAATTTAAGAGTTTTTATGTTATATTGCCATCTGCAGGGTCTATATGCCATTATAGAAATGGCTGATACGAAGGAGGTGGAAAAAGTGCTGTCTATTACACAGCATTGTATGAATGGTCAAAAGTTACGAGTGAAGCACAAAGAGAATAAGGAGTTCAAATATATTCCAAAACAGAAGCAGAATCCTGGGAAAAAATTGATTGATTTTGAAGAGCTGACACAGGCTCTCTGTCAGGCTGTTGATGTAAGTACTTCACCTTGTTAATGCTACCAGCTAATTAAAACAATGGTTTGTGACAATTAGTTGTTCCTTACAGGTTGGTAATGTAGAATAACATTAACTTATTAACAGTAATATAAAGATATTGTGATCAGATAAAGCTTGAGCGAGTCTTCCTTTTTTATATTTTTAGTGCTTGCATTCAAATGTAACCATTTAGGTTTTTCCTTAGTCCTGGTTTTGCTTACAGTCAATACGAGTGCAACATCATCTGAAACAGTACTGGAATGGCCATATAAATTCTCTGGCAAAAAGAACAGATCAGAGTCTTGGAGCTCTTTGATGGATAACTCACCATTGTATTCTGCAAAACCTGTCCATGTGTTCTCTGATCAAGTCAGGAGGAGTGATCTCCACTTTCATGGATGAGTACAACTCCCCCAAAGCCCTACGGGCTTGACACTAACCAGGACAAAGCAGCCTGCGTGATCGGCACCTCATCCACCACCTTCAACATTCAGTCCCTCCACTATCAGTGCACAGTGACATTGTGTACCATCTACAAGATGCAATGCAGCAATTCGGCCAGGCTGCTTTTAACAGCAGTTTTCCAAACCCATGATCTCTACCAGTTAGAAGGATTAGGGTTAGCAGATGCATGGGAACACAATGCCTACAAGTTACGCTTAAAATCACATGCTGTTCTAATGTGGAACTATAATCACCATTCCTTCACTGTCACTGAGTCAAATTCCTGGAAGCCCCCCCTCAACAACACTGTAGATGTACTTACAACATTTTAACTACAGCAATTAAATAATGCAACCCATCACTACCTTCTCAAAGGCAATTAGGAATGAGTAACAAATGCTGACATAACCTGTGATACCCACGTCACATGAAAGAATAAAACAATTACTATCACATGGTTATTAAAGCAAAATGTTTTTGTTCTATACAATCAGCAGCTATTATGTGAAGAATTCCGCACAAAAGCACAAATACCACAAAAAGCACCATTTCTTCTCCTTTGATTTGTAAATTTGAGGATAATTGCCATAATTTTTACTCTGCAATTTTCAGTAATTTTTACCATTTGAGATAGTGATGTATTTTGTAAAAGTTAAATGAACAACTTACTCTAATAAATATTGATATAAATGCATATTTTAGTTAATGCCTCTCCATCTGAAGTGCATTTATTGATATTCATCAGTATACTGGGAAAAAGGCAGTCAAACCAGATATGCATTTCAGATATAATTCTGTGATTTTAAGATGAGGCAAAGAATGAATAATTTATCCATTATTACAAGAGGAGAAAGCAATTATCAGTTTTGGAAACCACTATCTCAGGAGCTACTTAAATTGGGAGGAAAGTTGTCAGAGAACTGTCTTCAAAGATGTGGATTGCGTACTTGTTTTAAGCCTCACTAGCATGGCTGAATGATTAATGAACTAATATTGAGATCATTGGATATCTTATTAAGACAGACTTATTTAAAAAAAATTGGAGAGAAATAATACAATAAATTAAATGCCTTCATGTAGGTGTCTCTTTGTCCAAGTCCTTCATTCACTGACATTACAGCTGCCTCATATCAGTAAGGATTAACCTATCTCCAACAACAACCCATACTATATAATTGAATTTACCTGCACAGCAGTGTCAAACTTCTGCAATGGATATTCTGCTCTTCAGTTGCTTGCACAAAAAATGTTGCTCGCCTGTCACAAAGGATCATATCATTTGTTTATATATATCCAAACAAAGATTTTGATTACTTCTTATGTTCAATGGCAATTCTTTTTGTGTGACAGGTAGATGAACAAATGAAGCAGTTGCTGCAGCTGTTTGAGCTTACAGAGAGTGAAACAATGCTTAGGAAGTTGATTGTGTCACTTTTGCAGGAGGTCTTCTTAGAATTTTTCCCAAGTAAGTGGTCTAAATATTATTGCTTGAGTTTTGACCATTGTTACGTGAGAGATTTAAAATGGTGAATAGTAAGGTTTGCTGCCTTAGGTTATGGGTGTTAAGATCATTAAAAAGAAATTGGTGCTTTTGTTGCAATAAATATATTGTTGCAATATTGTTCCAGTGTACAAAATCACTAAGGCTTTTGAATTAGCTTTCACTTAGATGTATGGATTGTAGTAAAAATCTGCTGAGTAGATGTTTCACTTTTGAATCTTTTGCTCTTACTCTGAAAAGGGAAACATTTTTTCTGCCTGGGACAGTTGGTATCAATGACAAACACTATCTACACAGGTATACGCAGTGTGAATAATGTGTCACAATTTCAAATTTAGACATGTACTTCTACTACACAAGAATTTTCCTCACCTGGATCCAGACCTTGTCCCTATTTTAGGGGTAGATATTACACCATGGGCTCTCAGTGGTTCACAAAGATGTTTGTTTCTCTTTGTACTTTTAAAACCATTCCATTAATCTGGGTGGGTCCAAACTCAAGTGTCAGTGTTGGAAGGCTGGTATCTTATCCCACTGAACTATGCAATTTTTCTTTGTAGACATTATTGCAATTATATATTGATAGAACTTTAAGGGAAAGATGTTCATTTTAAACTTTTCGATATTAATTGTATTTTTTAATTTACTGACAATTGAACCATGAAGCCATTGTAACAAGCGGCTTAATATGATTTTGTTTCAGGTTGTAGAATCTTGCCCTTTGGGTCATCGGTGAATGCGTTTGGTATCCATGGCTGTGACATGGATTTGTTTCTGGATCTCGAAAACACCAAGGCTTTCCAGGCAAATGCTAGAAGCAAAGTTGAAACTGAAGTATGTTTACATCTTATGGGACTCTGGTAGTATCTGCAGTATTTTCAAAAATATTAACAGATTAAAATGTCTGTAGCTATTGTATATGCACCTGTATTTGCATACCAAGCTGTTTTTTTTTTTAAAAATCCCAAGCATCTGCAAGAGAATCAAATGCTCCAGTTTGAACTTTCATCAAAGGGACTCGCTGGAAATTTGTTTACAAATCAGTCTCAAGCATTTGCAGAATTCATTTGAATGTGATATAGTCAGTTTTGGGGAGATAAAAATTGTAATTAGCCATACCTGAGCTTTCACCAGAGTACTGTTTCCCTAGATTCAAATGGGTTGAATGAAAATGGTTTGAATCGAAGCACCACAATATTTTAGTCTTGGACAACTACCTAGCTTTAGTAGGAAAGATCCATGACGGCTTTTGAATAATTGACAGAGGTAAATGTATCCAAATTTATTGACTGATATTTCTCATAGTTATTTAAAAACAAATTTCTTAAGTGTAACCTGCATGTTCTCATTGGTTGTTACCCTTCAGTTCTTCTATTGGGAATACTTTGATAACTTCATTGTTGGTGTGAAGTACGTTCTGCATGGACAGAGACACATGTACTGGCATCCTATCTCTGGTCTTCCACGGAACTTTAACCTATGCTTTGTATCTCTGTTAAAATTCTGGCAGATACCCTAAATTCTGCCCATGATGTTTTTTTTTTAAAACGATAAAGTCTGCTGAATGGATAGGGAATCAAAAGATAACTGGAACAGGCATATAGAGATACAAACAATATGCTTTATGTAATTACAGGAGGTTAATGGAATTAAACAGGATACTCCGTCTGAAACTCAATCTGAGGACTCGATCTTGTCTGACATAGACCTGGGAACGTCAACAACAGCTGAGGTGCTTGAACTTGTAGCAACTGTTTTGCAGAAATGTGTTCCAGGTGTACACAAAGTTCAGGCTGTCACGACTGCCAGGCTACCTGTGGTGAAATTTATCCATAAGGAATCAGGCTTGCAAGGAGACATTTCTATTAATAATAGGTACAGTAGTCAACAGACTAAAATTTATATTTATAAGTTGTATATATCTAGACTATCTTGAGAGTAAAGGTAACTTTGTCTACTGAGAGTTTCACGAAAACACCTTACTGACTCTCCACCCTCGATTTCAATAGCTGCAAGATGCCTACAGACCCCTTTGTCACTATTAATGATGTGACTCATTCAGCTGGCTATAATGCTCCTTCAGCCCCTGGGCCTCCAGCCACATCTTTCTCCTTCCTGTTTTTCTCCCATCATCACCTCCTTCCTGCAGTCCATTACCATAAAGCTGCACACTTCCATTCCTCATCTCCATTCTAGATAAAATTGTAAATAGTTCTTTATTCACTGCTTCTATTTTCCCAAAATACCCATTTTGCTTGCCTTGCAAGTTATCATCCTATCTCCAACCCTTGTCTCTTTCCTTTTCAACATCCCTTGAGTAAATCTGTAATCGATTGGTTTTGTACTTGCTAAAGTTGCAGTAACATCGTCTGTGACTTTAACCGTGATTGCCTCCTGACTCCCTTGCCACATCATTCCCAATTGCTGCTCTTCTTGTTCTTTTCTGTCTTAGTGGCATTGCCTATGTATGTTTCGACTCTTGCCTTTTCAATTGTAGACACAGCAGCTCTAGCAATGGTCTCTCTTCCTAACCTTGCAGCTTTATCACCCAAAGATTTGACTTCTTCCATTCCTACATCTACATACTGCTCATTAGCACCGTTCAGAGGTCAGCTTCATCGTCTACTGTGACAACTTCCATTTCTAAATCTCTGTTCACTGCCTCCATGTTGTCAGGTAGCATGTCCAAAAGCCAGTCTTGTGATGGGAGGACTAAAGCATTGTCTGTGATCTTTGCCACAAACTCTTTACCAATGAGTTCTTTCCCTCTCCTGGATTGGTGGCTCAGGCTGCATTGGCTGCATTAGCATCGTATTTGATCATCAAAAAAAACCTGCATCGATGTTCGATCATGTTGTTAACCTCAATCCCTACTTACCGATCTGTTATTCAAATCCTTTATTGCCTCTAATGCCCAGCTAGACCAGCTCTCATCTCATAATGTCATTTATCCAAAACTCTGCTGGCTATTCCTACGCTGTACTAAGCCGTCTTCGTCAATCACCCATCATCTCAACTTAGCATGCTGTTCTTAAATCCCACAGTAATCACAAAGCTCCCTACCTGTGTAACCTCCTTCATAATGAAACTCTATTCTTTTCTGACACTGACATTTTTGTGCAAGCTGTTCTGCCGGTAACCATACCGTTTGCAGTTGTGTCTTTAGCCACTTAAGCCCTAAGCCTTCTAATTTACTTGACAAAGTACACTGCTTTTTTACGTTCTTCTCATTCAATAAAATCTTCCTTAGATGCCATGTGCTGGATTTGTGCTCCTTGCTGGAGACAGACAGAAGTGAAAATTAGTGCGAGCACAGGGTGGATAACTAATTAGGTTCATTAATGGCCTCATTGAGACCAATTAAACCTCCAGGTTTCCATGCCAGCAGAGGTTAGCTTGGGGACCTGGAGGTCTTTTGTCAGCCCATCCACTGCCCTTGTATGAATTGAGAACCTGGTTCTGTGCCAATTAAGGAGCTGCACCCTTGAAAATCCCACGAGTTATTATTGTTCCTTGTTGAGGTTGGAACCTGGAAAATGTCCCATGTTCTGCTTCATGCTCCCAGAGGGAAATTCCAACCCAGTATCGTTGACCAAGCTTTTATAACTTTCAACAATGTACTTCATGATCTGTATAAGTTAGATGTAACATTATACAGACTTACTTGCATACTTGTCATACTTATCACCCTGTCTGGGCCTTTCTCAATAAATTCATGATATTCAGTACAATTTTGTACTGATAATTATGACTATCAATATGGTTAGTTGTCTGTGATTTCCATACACAATTATAAGCTTATTTTTGATGGCTTGCTTGAAATTACAAGAATGATAGGATGATCTATTTTTATAGGTTGGCTGTACGTAACACACAGTTTCTTCAATTATGTGCTTCACTGGATCAAAGAGTGAGACCTCTTGTTTATACTGTTCGCTACTGGGCAAAACAAAAGCAACTAGCTGGTAAGAAAAGCTCTGTTAAACTGCCTAAAGCCTTAAAGTCTATTCATATGGAGTAATCTCCTAACCAGGGTTAATTAATTGAGAATGAAGATATCAAGCTGAACGAACAGTTTAAACTAATTGTAAGGCCTTCTGAATTTGCTATCCACAAAATATCACACAATATTAAAAATGCTTGGAACACTTTTTTTTTCCCCCAATTCGAAACATTAAAGCCCCCTTACTTTTTACTGACAAGTGTTTATGTCAAAGTGATTTTGAATAATAAAATTGCATACAATTTGATGTTCATCAAAAATATCTGCTTAAGTAAATGTTGTACATTTACAGTTAAGCACCATAGGGTAATGGGTAAATAAGTGCAAAATAGACCGATTGTATTGTTGTGGACAGTATACAGTGATGTTCCCTGAGAGTCAGTATTGGGGTTGCTGGTTTATTTTTATGTACAGTCATGGTATACAGAGCATTGAAATCTGCAGATGACGTGAAACTTGGAAATCTTGGAAGCAATGAAACAAAGAAAGTAACCGGCTGCTAAAATAAGCAGATATTGTGAAATAATGGATTTTATTGGAAAGGTTGAAGCGAGACAATATGACTGAAAGGGTTGGTAAGAACTGCTGATGCTGGAGTCAGAGATAACAGTGTGGAGCTGGAGGAACACAGCAGGCCAGGCAGCATCAGAGGAGCAGGAAAGCTGACATTTCGGGTCAGGACCCTTCTTCAGAAATGGAGGAGGGAATAAATAGAGAGAAGAGGGGTGGGGCTCTGGTGGGGCTCTGGAAGGTAGGTGGGATGGTGATAGGTGAGTGCAGATAGGCAGTGGTGGGGATGGGTCAGTGAGGTGGGAGGAGCAGATAGGTGGGAGAGAAGACAGACAGGTTGTGTCAGGTCAAGGAGGCGGGGACAAGAGGGTGGGTTGGTCGTGGGATGAGGCCAGGGGTGGGAAGATTTTGAAACTGGTAAAGTCTACATTTGAGACCATTGGATTGTAGGCTCCCAAGGCAGAATATGAGGTGCTGCTCCCCCAGTTTCCGGGTGGCGTCATTGTGAAACTGGAGGAGGCCCAGGATGGACATGTGTCCAGGAAGTGGGAGTTGAAGAGGGCGTTGAAGTGGTTCGCGACTGGAAGGTGTTGTCGTTTGTCACAAACAGAGCGCAGGTGCTTTACAAAGTGGTCTCTGAGCCTCCGCTTGGTTGTAAAGAGGTGCAGGAAGAGAGATCAAGTAACATGTACGCAAATATTTCAAGATGGTGTACAAGTTGAGAAAGTTTGTAAAAGCAGCCAGGGTCCTTGGCTTTTGAATTTAGGAATAGAATAAAAACTTCATAAACTGGTTAGGCCTCAGCTGGATTAGTGCGTAAAATTCTGGGTACGGCACTAGGAAGAACGTTAAAACTTTGGTGTTCTGTCCCAGGAAATGAATTGTTGGAGGATGGTGTAGAGCTAATGTTTACTTAGTCTTGCATTGTTATGCACACCTCCAAGGCAGGTGGGGCTTGGACTCAGACCTCTGACCCAAATGTGGGGATGCTACCTCTATGCCACAAGAACCGTAAAAGGAAGTGTCCCTTTCCAGTATTTGGATATTACAATTATACCTGTTTGGATATAGAAGTTCATAGAATCCCTTGTTCATATAGAGGCCATTCAACCCATTGAGTCTGCACCAACTCTCTGAAGAACGTTCCACTCTATCCCTGTAACCCCACATTTACCATAGTTAACCCACTTTGCATGCAACTACGGGGAAATTTAGTATGGCCAATCCACCTACCCTGCACATCTTTGGACTGTGGGAGGAAACCAGAGCACCTGGAGGAAACCCATGCAGACACTGGGAGAATGTGCAACTTCACACGCAGTCACCCAGATCTGGAACTGAATCGGAGTCCCTGGTGCTATGAGGCAGCAGCGCTAACCACTGAGCCACTGTGCTGTCCAAGTTGTGACACAACTCTGTCGCAGGTGGAACTTGAACCGATATGCTCAAGTGAAACTTCAGTTAATGCTGTCTACTTGCATATAATGAAACCCAATTGATGTTCAATTTACACTTGGAGAAGGTATCAAACTGCTTGATACCATTCTAGCCAAAGATGAGGAACTTCATTTATGTAGTGAGACTAAGAGAAGTTGGACGTACTTTCTAAGGTACAAAATGGGTTCAGAGAAAAATTGATTGAGATGTTAAAATCATTAAGGATTAATCATTGATGAATCAGAGAAACCATTTCCAGTAGTGTTAGTGTCAATACAGTGTGGAACTGGAGGAGTACAGCAGGTCAGGCAGCATCAGAGGAGCAGGAAAGTCGACATTTCGGATTTACACCCTTCATCACTCCTGTGAGAAGGGTGTAAACCTGAAACGTTGACTTTCCTGCTCCTCTGATGTTGCCTGACCTGCTGTGTTCCTCCAGTTCCACACTAAATTGACTGATTCCAGCATCTGCAGTTCTTGCTATCTGCAATTGGGTTAGTGTCCACCGGAAGTTAAAAGGAAGAATTTACCACAGCTAAGTATGCTTGTTTATAAAATGGCAATGAACTAACCAAAAGAAATTTGCTATAATGCATTTTAAAAGGCAGTAAATTGACTAGCTTGATTTTTTTTTTTCATAATTGAAAATACTGTTGTTTCTTTTGTTTCACTCACTTCTTTCAGCTGTACCTATCACTAGAGATACCTTTTCAGAAAAGCTTGAAAATGGATCATTTGTCCGGAGGTCTGAATGGCACAGTAGGCTGGTACATTGTCGTGTGACTTTCCATAACTTGGATTTTGAATTTGGCCACCAATAATGGGGCATATCTTATTTGACAAGGGTTGGCCAAATGCTGACCACTTCAGGGTCCACAATAAAAAATGACTTGTAATTCTAGGTCCCTTACCTCTGTATTGCCACCCTGACCAAAAGTGATTGTAGTTATAAGTAAGGGTTCTAATTCAGTGCCTTAACTACAAATACAGAAGAAAAAAGGTATTTTACTAAAGGAGGGGTGGATTTACAATTAGCATAACTGTTCGTTACTGCACACGTAGCAACGAGCAGCATTCGGTTTGATTGGTGATATTCCTCACTTTTTAAAAGGCAGAAAGATTCATCCATTAACATGAACAATGGATAAGTGTTGGAGTACAACACAGATCACTTGGTGTTTATGAACATATTAGTTTAGCTTCCTGCACTACCAGAAACTGAGATAAGTTCCTTTTTATAATGACTGATCAAATGAAGACTATGACTAATTAAGATCAGAGTGTAGCAAGTTCTGCCTTAAAAAGGACAAATACATTTGAAGAATCTGTGAATACTATTTTTAAAGTTGAAAGAAGTAAAAAGGCAGTAAAAAGGTGATGCAGTTAGGTTGTCGCTCACATTGCAGTGATTTCTGCTGGAAAGTCCACAGGCTATGATCCCAATCCCTGTCCTGGGAATGCCCCACACCACTTCATTATTCTGCTGACAACCTTGACAAAAGCAAAACACAATAGATTCTGAAATGAAAGCAGACTGCTGGAAATAATTGCTTCCAAGGACACAAACAGTGGCATATTTCTGGTTACAGGCCAATTTTAAATGTTATAATAAAATGTCAATCACCTGAAATATTAACTTTGTTTGTTTCTCTATATTTGCTGTCTGATTTGCTGAGTATTTCCAGTCCGGTATTTTTTGACTTAGATATTCTGATGGCCAGATATTCATTGCAGCACTGTAGACTGGAATTGCGGAAATTCTGCAGTCGAGTTGCCTGTAAAATTGAAAATCTTGATGATCCTGTATCTGGACAGTCCCTTAAAGTTGGAGAATTCTGAGGGTTCCAACTCAATCAAGCTTAATAATTACCCAGGAGAAGTTGGAGTTTCAATACTCTAATGTAACTGCTGAGTAACTATTAAACTGAATCCCCAACTCATGTCACCCCATCTGGATGTGACTTCCTTGCCTCCCAATCTGACAACCCCATTCCCTATGTTTTCCAGATTTGATTTTCCACTGTACGGACCTTCAAGGTCCCTGTATGCTTGCAACATCTGGAACTGCATGTCAAACCATTGCCATGTTGATTGTGTGTATGTGGAACCTCCAAGGAGCTCTGTGATCGTGCAGCTTAGAAGGAATGCTTTCGGTGAGACCTCTAACCTAGGTGTTCATTCACTTACCTGGTGCCCAAATCCCCTCACCCAATGATACCTTAGACCCCAAGCACTTGGGGCCCCCATCTACTTGACACATTGTGGACTCCAAGCCCCTACCCCACCACCCCCAGTGCCCTATCTCTCATCCACCTGTGTCTGTTTTCCCTGCCATAGTCATTTCTTAGTTGAAACCATTGTCTTCAACAGAGGAAACAGTAAAGGAGAGAGTCTGAAAAAAATGGAAAGAGCCAATTAATCCTCATCCGTTCTTGAAGGACGTATCCAGCAACTTCTCACTAAATGTTTTTAAGAATGTTTATATTTAGTGAAAAATATTTTGCTGTTGCTTTTCTATCATTACGTGATTTATATTTATTTCACTCCACAGTGCATTTCTGAGATATTTATTTAACAGCTTGCTTGAGAATGTCCAATGTGCATTGTCTGTCAAGCAGGTGCAACTACCATTACTGGGAAATAAACTCTCCACACATGAGAACTACTTTAAAGTTGCTTTCATAGTTTGCTAGCTTCAGGTTAGGCTTTACTAATGTGAACTTGTAATCTGTGAAATGGGGGAGTCCAAAACTAGGGGGCATTGGGTTAAGGTGAGAGGGGGAAGATTTAAGAGGGACCTAAGGGGCAGCCTTCTCATGCAGAGGGTGGTGCATGTATGGAATGAGCTGCCAGAGGAAGTGATGGAGGTGGGTACAATTACAATTTTAAAAGGCATCTGGATGGGTATATGAATAGGAAGGGTATAGAGGTATATTGGTCAAATGCTGGCAAATGGGATCAGATTAATGTAGAATATCTGGTTGGCATGGATGAGTAGGACTGAAGGGTCTGTATCTGTGCTGTACATCTCTCTGACTCAGAGGTCATTTCATGGCATCAGAATACACAGAAATAACCTGCAATTGAATGCTGGAGAATTGCAAGTTCAGTCTTTATTGTAAATAAACTAATTTAATTTGTTAAGTCATAATTTGACAAAGATGTTTACATTTGGTGTATAATTTATTTTTCGCTTTTTGTCTTAGGAAATCCTTTTGGAGGGGGGCCATTAATGAATAATTATGCAGTGACTCTCTTGGTTGTGTTCTTCCTTCAGAACAGGATACCGCCAGTCCTCCCAACAGTGAACCATTTAAAAGAGCTTGCAGGTATGGGTATGAAAAAGCAGATCTTGCATTCAAAACTAAGATGCAGTTAAAAGATACTTTATAAGTTTTGAAAAATCCTCTGATTTGTTGCAATGGGAATTAACCATTCAAACTTCACATTTCTTAACTATTGGAAGCTACTTAAGTTGAGTTAAATTCTAAAGAATAATGAATTTGATTTCTTATTAGTCATGTTTTGCTTGATACTTTGAGGACACCAATTACACTTGTTCTAATGCACTTTTAACTGTGCACTTTGATAGTTTTGCTGCACTATTGTCATTTTTGTAAAGTACAACAGCACCATTCTTTGGTAAAAGTGTGGTATTGCAAGATCAACAACTAGTTGGGGAGTTTGATTTAGTGGTTACAATAGAAATAGAAGTGTCACAGTGAAAAAGTGCTGTGTTTTCTGAGATTGGGATAAGACCGTGTTGGAGCAGTATAAGGAGAGCTTTCCCAGACCTTGACAGTGCATTTTACTATTAGTAATTGCTAACAATCGACAATGGGTTGCATTCCACAACACTTAACATTCCTTGAGCACAAAATTTTACATGTCTACAAATGCTACAAGGCAAAGTATAAAAGATAATAAAAGCAAAATACCATAATTATTGGATACCTGATCTAAATGCTGAAAGTTTTCAGCAAGTCAGACAATGCCCCCTCACCCACTGAAATCAAACAGAGAAGATGCTGACTAGAAACCTTTATGGAAACTGCTACTAAATAAGATAAGAGCCCATGGTGTTAGGGACAAGGTACTGGCATGGGTAGAAGTTTGACTGACTAGCAGAAGGCAGAGAGAGTAGGGATAAAGGGGTCTTTTTCAAGATAGCAGCTGGTGACTGGAGTTCCATCGGGGTCAGCGTTGGGTCCACAACCATGCATGTTATGCATTAATGGTCTGGACAAAGGAACTGAGGACATTGTTGCTGAGTTTGCAGTTGATGTGAAGATAGATAGAGGGAAAGGTAGTGTTGAGGAAGCAGGAAGGCTGCAGAAGGATTTGGAGAGGCTAGGAGAGTGGGCAAAGAAGTGGCAGATGGACTACAACGTAGGAAAGAGTGCAGGTATGCTCTTTAGTTGGAAGAATAGAGGTGTAGACTATTTTCTAAATGTTGAAAGGCTTTGGAAATCTGAAACATAAAGGGACTTGGGAGTTCTAGTTCAGGATACTCTTAAGGTTAATATGCTGGTTCAGTTGGAAGCTGGGAAGTCAAATGCAAAGTTAACATTCGTTTCAAGAGAGCTAGAATACCAGAGCAGAAATATACTCCTGAGGCTGAATAAGGCTGTGGTCAGATCGCATTTGGAATATTGTGAGCAGTTTTGGGCCCCATGTCGAAGGACGGATGTGTTGGCATTGGAGCATATGAGGAGTGGTTGAGCACACTGGGTCTGTACCTGTTGGCGTTTAGAAGGATGGTGGGGGGTGATCTCATTCAAGCTTACAGAATGCTGAGAGGCCTGGATAGAATCGATGAGGAGAAGGTGCCTTTGACTAGTAGGAGAGACTAGGACCGGAGAGCACAGCCACGGAGTGAAGGGACAACCCTTTAGAACTGAGATGAGGAGGAATTTCATCAGCCAGAGGGTGATGAATCTGTGGAACTCATTCTGCAGGGAGCTGGAGGTCAAGTCAATGACTGTACTTAAGGCAGAGATAGATAGGTTCTTGATTGGTAAGTCCAGGGTTACAGGGAGAAGACAGGAAAATGGCATTGAGAAACAACAGCCATGTTTGAATGGTGGGGCAGACTCAGTGGGCCGAATGGCCTAATTCTGCACCTATGTCTTATGGCCAAACCCTTCTATTACCTTGTATTTTTCCACCAATAAGTTAAGAATGGCTTTCACCGTGACCGAGAGCAATTTAACTGCTGTAGCCTGACTTTGTAACCATAGAAGGTGCATTACTTGGGCATTGTTTGCCTACCCCATAGTCAATAAAATAATTACCCATATTTTAGTCCATAAAGATCATTTTGATGAGACCAGGATAGCACAACATCTTGTAATGCAGTGAAAGAAAAATCTTATTGCGTAGTTGAATTGTCAATTCTTCATCAGATGTTAGTAGATAATAAAATCAACGTGATTGTCCAAACTCTATTAGAGTAAATCAAATGAGAGCACCCTTACTTTGACAGGCATGCACTGAGTAAAGTTAACATTTGTTGAGTTAACCCCTGAAGATACCCTAACTTCAGTGGATAACTGATTTTCAAAAAACATAGTTTGTACCTTGCAACTTCTATATAATACAGGCTTTAGTCATTATACTTTTTTATGTCTGCATTTAAGTTATGTGGGTTATTTTTACTGAAGTGAAAATTAATTTGAGCATTTTTTTTCTTGAGATGAGGATGACCAGTGTATAATTGATGGCTGGGACTGCACTTTTCCAAGTAATCATTCTAAAATTGAACCCAGTTCAAATTCTGAAGGATTATGTAAGTATTTAGTTACTGATCTTTTAAATTTAGTTTAGTTGCACAAGTTACATAATTATGTGCATATATAATAAAAATGTGTGCTTATTTATCAAAACGTTAAAATTATGGGTACAACCTGATATGATAAGTTAAGTACCAACCTTTCAGTTAGGTCATTTGGATTTGACTGTAATCCAAATTGATAGGATAACATTTTGCTCTGTCCTCTGACTGTCAGGCTGCTGCATGATGTATGTTCTTGCAACCTTCATCCAGCTTGAGTACAATAATTGCTGGTTTTGCACTAATTGCTGACCTAACTGAACAACCATATGCTGTTGGTATGGGCAAGTGGACAAATGATCAACATAGAAGCAAATTACTGCAGATGCTGGAATCTGTACTGAAAACAAGAAATGGTGGAGATAACAGCGGGTCAGGCAGCATCCATGGAGAGAAAGCAAGCTAACATTTCTACTCAAAATGTTTGCTTGCTTTCTCTCCATGGATGCTGCCTGACCTACTGTGATCGCCAACATTTTTTTTGTTTTCAAATGATCAACTGACATTGGAGGTCTAACTGCTTCACCAAACTTGTGGTACCCATTGGTGGATGTGTGAAGTGGAAGGGTTTTCATTCACCAGCATCTAAAACCACATGAACAATTTCTTTAAATAAATTTTAACATTTTAACTTCTTTATAAATCTGTCTCTGGGTTTATTTTTCATGATAGGTGAGCTTCTGGCAGAGTTCTACAAGTTTTATTCACAGTTTGACTTTGCTGGAACTGTAATTTCGCTGAGCGAAGGTAAAGTTCATCTTGTGACTGATTTCATTGGTTCTGAGTCAGAAACAAATCTCCGACTTGGACCAATTAATATCCAGGATCCGTTTGAGTTGAGTCATAATGTTTCTGGAAACATTAATGAAAGGACAGGACAGAAGTTTAAACGACAATTAGATGAAGCCTTCAAGTACTGTCGTAGCCTGCAGTATCAAAGAAAATCAAACAAAGGGAAGATCTGGGGCATAGTCAGATTGTTTCAACCTCTGAATAGTACTGACTGTTCCCCAGCACATTCTCCAGAATTGGATTATAGTTCAGTCAACGAGTTGAACCATGGTGGGAATGTGTTTACTATTCCTTTCAAATTATCTTGCCTTTCAGAGCAAACAAGGGAAAAGTTGCATGGATCTTCAGATTTCAGGGAAATTTGGTTTAACGAGGTGTGTCATGCTGTCCTGTATGTGATGGAGACTGTTCTGAAATGTAGTTGTACATGTATTGAGGGGAGTAATGTGCAAACTGATGATATAAAGATCAGTAACTTTGGTGAAAATAGGAATGACAATGAAGATAACACTGCATTGAAGAGAAAACATCTTGTAGAAGAAATATCCGAAACATCAAGCACGAAGAAAGCAAGAATTGAAACTGTACAATACCGGAGAGAAGTGACCTGGCACTGTGCAGTTTGGAGCAGAGTATGGGTTGGACGGAGAAAAATGAGACGTCAGCTCCATTTTAGAACAAGTAAACCTGATGCAAATACAGATGTGGCGATCAATTCCTTAGAAGTTGAAGAAAAGGTTACTGAAGGTATATTGCAGCAGGAAGAGTGCGGGGATAAATCCAGCCCATTAATAATGTTTACGCTCTGTGCCTTGCTGGTTGGAGGTAATGAAGACACCAGGGCAATGATCAGAGTCACCCCCGTTCAACACACTACTTTATTTACAGAATTCTTTCATTTTCTAGAGTCGTTTGTTCCCAAGATGACTGAAAAGTGCTTTGAAAAATCTGACTAATATATCATGATTGCTACAATGATTTGACTTCAGTTTAAAGATTTTTTTCATAAATAGTAAATTGAGTTCTGTAATATTACTGAAAGATTTTATTCTAAAACGGACAATGAAGTTGTATATTTCTTTGAAAAACTTTGATTACATCTGAGTAGGAATGTATTTGTAATATAAATGGTATAACTACTAAGTCTAGGTTCAAAATAAAGACCTTCATTAGACAGAAATATGCTGGATGTGACACTGATGATGATGCTTATTATTACACCAACTTCCTGCAGCAAAACAATGACATGTGCCTTCTGTATGTATAGTGAGCAGTTAACTGGATTTATCTGGTGTGAAAAGTAGACATGTTTCCTCTAATTGAGAGAACACCGAATTTCAAAAGATTTATGTTTGTTTCCTTGTTTTGCAAATGTGGTGAGTTTGATCTTGACAGACTAAATTACTAAGTGTAAATAAACTGTTTGATCTAATACATGAACTGTAGTATTATATAGCAACATGTACTTGTAGTGTTATACTCAGGGAGTCATTGACTGTGAATTTTGTCCTGCGGGCACTGTACATTGTATAGTCTATTCACGACTAGATTTTTATTTGCATTCTGTTGAAGATTTTCTCCTTTGAATTGATCTGCTTGATTTTATTCTTGTACTGATGTGGCGAAGGCTTTTTAATTGTGTTTGTTTAATCAATAAAATATTTTTAGGCACAGATATCAAAGATAACATTTTAACATGGCTATGAAGAAAATAGACAAAAGATATTTCCTAAAAACAGGTGTTTAGTTGGTGTACACTATCTGAGCATTTTATAATGATGCATAAGTACAACAATACGGGAGAAAAGTTATTGTGATACAAACTGTTATGGTTGAAAGAGTGATGTGATTTTTTTTTTCTCCTCCCTCTAATTGTTTTACAAACGTGGATATCTTTCATCAAAAACATTAAATGCTGGTAGTCAAACATGCTGTTAGCGTGTAACAAACTGCTTCATAAATTTGCGAACTTTGAATTCATAATCTAATTAGAGGGTTCGATGGCAGTTATGATTATATGTTAGAGCAGTGGGAGGGATCTTTTTCTGATGGCTGCAAACAGGCAGACAAATTGGAAGGACAGGAGAAGCACCTTGCTGAGTACCATTGTTCCATTATTAAAAAAAAATCTTGGGGCTGAATTATCACAAATTTTCATGCTTGGCAACAGCGTATGTGATTTGGGAAAACATTTGAAACAAATTTAATTAACACCTTTAAACTGTAGTGTGCCAAAGCCAAATGAAACACAATGAGAATTGGTGATCATGTGGCTCCTGGCATTCTGCAGTATCAATTTTGACTGTTCCCATTCTCAGAACAACATTGTATATCTGAGAAATGTATAGTTTTGTGTTTTCATATTCCAGGTCCTGATGTATGTCCTTTCTTTAAAATGAAGACATTAGTTTTATAGTTAGTACATGCTAGTAAATGTCCTGTGCTAATGCTCCTAATGGGTTTGATGAACTGTTGGTGTCAAAATGACTACAGCACATACATTATAATGCAGTATTATTCTGTTAAGGTGCAGCAGTTTTGAAGATGGCCTTTACCTTTAAAGCCACAAAATCTAGTTGTGGTTTGGTTAGTTTGCTGGTCAGAAGGAAGCTGCACATTTGCAGCACGATAAAACAACATGAATATCTTGATTTCATTCTCTCAATTTTCACACGTGAATGTGATAGTTGAAATGTGATGGATGTGCTCAGATTTTATGCCTGTGTTTTACTAAAATTTAAATTTGTATGAGAATTCTACAGTATATTTTAAACTTACCTTAATTTTAAAAATAGTTTTCTTATTGGTTAATAAACTTTTTCATTTTCACCTGTGGTATTGAATATCATTAGCTTAATGCAATTCAATGAAGCTTATGTGGAGACAGGCCACTTATTGCAGATTATGCTAAACATTTATGGCACTGATATTTAGTGTCAATTATTTACATCACAGAAGGAGGCCATTTGGCCTGTTGAGTCTGCTACCTTTCTAAAGAGCATCTCAGCCCCAATCACCTGCTCTATCATTGCTGTGGTCCTATGCAGGTTTATTTCCTTCAAGTGACTGATGTAATCTTCTGGCATTATTGATTATTTCCACATCTGCCACCCTGATGGGCAAAATCACTCAGGTTATTACTGCTCTTTGTATAAAACATTTTCCTGTAATTCCCCATGCATCTCTTGCCCAAAACCTTAAATCTGTCTGCCCTGCGCATTATAACGTCAGCTAGTGGGAACAGTTTAATCCCTGTGTACGTTCTCAGAACCTGTCATAATCATTGTACACTGTCCTTTGCTCCAAGGAAAGCAACCACAGCTTTTCTAAACTTATGACAAAGAACCCCATCCCTGGAACCATTCTGGTGAATCTCTCCGCACCTTCTCAAGCACCCTCATATCCTTCCTAAAGTGTAATGACCAGAACTTGATGTCAAGCTGAACCACAGCCTAGCATTTAGCATAACTTCCCTGCTTTCGTACTCAGTCTCTGTTTATGAACTCCAAGATCTTGAGTCTTATAACCTCTCATAATGTCCTGCAGCCTTCACACATCCATGCACAGGTTTGGAAAATATTAGCAGCTGGAAATGTTGACTACACATGGTTCCCCCAAGTTCCTACGTGGTGCAGAAATTGTGAACAAGAAATTGGAAATGCTTATTCATGGAGTTAAAGAGGTATTAGATTTTTTTTGAACAATCTACTTAGACTATTTAAGCTATTTATTTTAGTTCATAAACTTCATACTTCATCTGTATTCTCATTCATTACTATATAAAAACCAAAAGAACTGCGGATGCTGTAAATCAGGAACAAAAACAAAGTTGCTGGAAAAGCTCAGCAGGTCTGGCAGCATCTGTGGAGGAGAAAACAGAGTTAACGTTTCGGGTCCGGTGACCCCTTCCTCAGAACTGATGTTGGCTGGGAAAGCATCAGTTTATAGGCAGAAAATAGGGAGGTGTGTGGGTTAGAGAGTAAACGATAGGATAGAGCCCAAAGAGAGAAAGACAGTTGGACAGACAAAGGAGTTGCTAATGATCAGGCTGGGAGGGTGAGTAGTTGTTAATGGGGACTGTTAGTGACTAACAACAGGGGGTGTGTAGTGGCAGGCCATGTGGTAACAAGGCCTGGTGTGTGGGGTGGGGGGCTGGGACATGGGAGAGTTTAGGCCCTAAAATTATTGAACTCAATATTGAGTCCGGAGGGCTGTAGGGTCCCCAAGCGGAAAATGAGGTGTTGTTCCTCCAGCTTGCGTTGGGCTGTACTGGAACACCGTAGCAAGCCGGAGACAGAGATGTTGGCCAGGGAGCAGGGTGGTGCATTGAAGTGGCAGGCAACAGGTAGTTCAGGGTCTTTTTTGCGAGCAGAACGGAGATGTTCTGCAAAGCAGTCGCCAAGTCTACGCTTTGTTTCCTCAATGTAGAGGAGACCACGTTGTGAGCAGCGAATGCAGTAGACTAGATTCTTGGAAGTGCAGGTGAAGTGTTGCTTCACCTGGAAGGTATGTTTGGACCCTTGGATTCTGGGGAGGGAGGAGGTAAATGGGCTAGTGTTGCACATTCGCCGGTTACAGGGGAAGGTGCTGTGGGGAGGTGTTGGGGGTGAAGGAAGTGTGGACCAAGGTGTCCCGGAGGGAACGGTCCCTACGGAATGCGGACAAGGGAGGGGAGGGGAATATGTGTCTGGTGGTGGCATCTTGCTGGAGGTGGCGAAAATGGTGTCTGACGATCTTCTGGATGTGGATGCTGGTGGGATGGTAGGTTAGGATAAGGGGAACCCTATCGCTGTTGTGGGAAGGAAGAGAAGGGGTGAGGGCAGAAGTGCGGGAGATGGGTCGGACCCGATTGAGGGCCCTGCCAACAACGGAGCTGGGGAATCCTCGGTTGAGGAAGAATGTGGACATTTCGGAGGCTCCCTTGTCGAAGTTGGCCTCATCTGAACATATGCGACGGAGACGGAGGAACGGAGAGAATGGGATGGAGTCTTTACAGGGAGTTGGGTGTGAGGATGTATAGTCCAGGTAGCTGTGGGAGTCAGTTGGTTTGTAATGGATATTAGTGATCAGTCTATCCCCAGAAATGGAAACAGAAATGTCAAGGAAGGGAAGGGAGGAGTCAGAGATAGACCAGGTGAAAGTGAGGGCAGGGTGGAAATTGGAGGTGAAATTGATGAAGTTTTCCAATTCTAGACAAGAGAAGGAAGCAGCACCGATGATATCATTGATGTATCGGAGAAAGAATTGTGGGTGGGGGCTGCCGGAATAGGACTGGAACAAGGAATGTTCCACGTACCCTACAAAGAGACAGGCATAACCACTTCAATGCACCACCCTGCTCCCTGGCCAACATCTCTGTCTCTGGCTTGCTACAGTGTTCCAGTGAATCCCAACGCAAGCTGGAGGAACAACACCTCATTTTCTGCTTGGGGACCCTACAGCCCTCCGGACTCAATATTGAGTTCAATAATTTTAGAGCCTAAACTCTCCCATGTCCCAGCCCCCTACCCCACACACCAGGCCTTGTTACTACATAGCCTGCCACTACACACCCCCTGTTGTTAGTCACTAACAGTCCCCATTAACAACTATTCACCCTCCCAGCCTGATTGTTAGCAACTCCTTTGTCCAACTGTCTTTCTCTTTCTTTGGGCTCTATCCTATCGTTTACTCTCTACCCTACCCACCTCCCTATTTTCTGCATATAAAGTGACGTTTTCCCAGCAGTTCTGAGGAAGGGTCACCAGACCCGAAACGTTAACTCTGTTTTTTCTCCTCCACAGATGCTGCCAGACCTGCTGAGCTTTTCTAGCAACTTTGTTTTTGTTCATTTATTTCTATGCTGTGTTCCTAATGCTGACTGAAATTTTTCATCACCCAGCCCTGAATTTGAAAGATGCCCTAGTTCTAAATAATGTTTGATCATTTACTTTCTACCTGTGATTCATTCCTTGATTTTCTTTAGAATACAGTTGCTCATCTCTGAACCCACACACCTCTCCACTGAGCACCATTTTATACATGCAAACCAAATCGCTGTACTCTCTCCCAGGCATGTAACAGCACGGTTACACAAACAAGCTGCGTCAGCTCGCCTATTTCAGTACTTGCATGTGGGCAGGCTGACTCTTTGCACAACAGTTTACATGAAGACTGATGCAGAGTTTTGGTTTGAAGACACTTTGTCAACCTCATTTAACTATTCTTTCATAATGTCTCAGTAATAAGTATAGATATGTGAATCTGCCTGCCACCTATAAAAGAAATAAGTTTTCTGAACTGAGGATGCCTGGTTTGAAAGGAATTAGCAATTGTGAGGTGGAATTAATGGAAGAATGTACAACATTGGATCTTGGGTAAGATAAGTCTCTGAGCTGAAGCGGACAGAAGGAGATCTAGGAATAAAGAGTTGCCCTCTGCTGCTTCATGTGGGAAGAAAATATGAACTCAAATTCTAACTATGTCAAGGAGAGCAGCTAACTGAAACCATCCAGGTAGAAGGAGGATGATTTTACACATTTGAAATCAACTTTTGTTAATAGAATCAAATTGCTGCTCAGCAATGAATGCCAACAGTTGATGTTTTTTTCAGTAGAGCTGTGCTTAGAAACCTTTATGTTGAGAGTTCAGAGTGATGAATGGAGATTAGGTTAGCTTGGGGGCATTGGATGACAGGCATGAAAAACAGAATTGTATTTCCATACAATAGACAATTGGTATAACAGGAAGGAAAGCTACCCAGGAGGTAATATGAGGTATGCTTGTTAAAATGTTGTTATTTCACTGCAAAAGGGGCAATTTGGGGCACATGTACAAAAATAACAACCTGCACACTTCCTGTTGGCAACATCTTGGACGACGTTTGTGAGCAGTCGAAGTCTGCGTTGCACGTTAAAAAAAATGGATGTTACAGAACTCTTTCCTCCCTTAAAAAGTTTTAAGGTGGAAAATTTACTTGAGGATCGAACAATATTTGCAAGACATGCAGGTTTATTGGTTTTAAGTCACCAACTGTACTTGCAAAGTTCCTGTTTGAAGTTATCTAATTTGCAACAAAGATTTATCTGCATTTAAATTTAGTGATAGAATGCTCTTAAAATTGTACAATCACATTAGTGAACAGATGGCACAAAAAGAAATTGTTACTGTCTTCAGTCAGCATGACCTGCACCTCAGTCAGATGACCTGGACCACATTCAGGCTTGAGCTGAGAAGTGACACATTTAATTTGTGTCAGTCAAGTGACGGTGAACATCTTGAGAGAGAATCTAACTATCTCACTGACCTCCATGGCTTTGCCATTGCTGAATTTCACATCATCAACATCCAGAGGAATTGCTAATGACCAGAAAACTAGCTAGACCAGTTACATAAAAATACCATGCATATAAAAGTGGTTCAAAGATTAGGCATTCTGCAGCAAGTGGCTCACCTCTTGACCCCTCACAACCCTTTCACAAACACTCCAAAGTGTGATGGAATACACCACAGTTGACTGGATTTGTGCAGCTTCACACTCAAGGGGTCAACATCATCCACGACCAAGTAGCTCACTGATCGGCGCCTAATCCAGTACCTTAAATATTCACTCTCTCCACAACTGGCTGTATGTTGTCCTGAAGATGGCCTTCAATTTGCCAAGCTTCCTTCAACAGCACCTTGTGTTTCTCTGACCTCTACTATCCAAAAGAACAGTGGCAGTAGGTACATGGGAAGAGCACCACCTGTAAATTCCCCTGCAAACTGTACACCATCCTGATGTGGAACTATATTACCGTTTCCTCACTGTCGCTGGAACTCCCCTCCCAACTGCACTTTAGGTGTGCTTATA